ATCAAATGATCAGTGAAAAAAAGTGTGAAAAGAAAAGCCTATAATTTGACCCTTGAAAAGCAGTAAATAGGAAGATTGATTAAAAAGGGAAGAAAGTATATTTTTTACTTTTATCAGTTAAACATTACATTAATGGGAACCTCATCTCTATAAAAGAATGGTAAATTTAATTGATGTTACCTTGTCAGATCACTGAGACCTGGGAGTAGAGGTGGCAATCGGGTCAATCGGATCGGTTTCGGGTTGGATTTTTTCAGTTCGGATATCTTTCGGTTATATGTTATAATCGGTTTGGTTCGGACCGGATCGGTTAAATTTCGGTTCGGATTTGATTCGGTTCTATACATTTTTCGGTTCGGTTCGGTTTCGAGTCGGTTCAGATACGGTTCGGTTATAAATCGGTTCGGATAGATCCTGGTTGGGATACAATTTGAGTCAGATATATTTTGGTTTCGGGTATAGTTCGCTTCGGATATATTTTGGTTTCGGATCAAATATATTTTGGATATATATTATTTTCTAATTAAAATTTAACTATCCATATTTCTTTTTATGTTTTATCACATTTTTCAATCTATCATCAATTCAATATCTCATACTATTTTATATTTTTTTTCTAATTATATCATCTCTACCCTAAATAATCACCCCTTTTTTGACTTTTTAGTCATATTTTACAAATTTGGACTACAAATTATGAAAACATATATATTTAATTATGATACAAATTTAATATAATTAAATTGATTTTAAAATTTAGTTTTGAAATATCAAATTTCTCTCACATCTACCATACTACTCCGTAATATACTTATGTTTATAAATGAAAAGACAAAAGATAATTCAAATAGTGTTATGTTCCATTTGAATATAATTTGGTAAAAATTGAGTAAATAGGGGTGAAATTAAGTGAACTTTATTCAATTGAGTGCAAAATTTATAAATTATTGAGTGTATTTGGTTGAAAATAAAATAGATAAATTTAAGTTTAATAGAGTCAAATATAATTAATTTTACAGCTAAATGTAATGGCATAGATCAAATTTGAAATTGATAACACTAAATACTGCCGCTAGAGAGTCTTTTCAAAGTGCTAACATCAGCATATAATTTTATTTACTAACATTGAGTGAATTGGTTTGAAACTAATCAAATTAACTCTCAAATCAATAAAATTTATTGTAATGAGATGAAATTAGGATAAGATCTAGTTATTCCATACAATTTATCATATAATTCTTTCGTCTCAAAAACAATATCACACTTCATTATTTAAAAATTACGGAAAATTTGTTTGTTTGTGCGTTATCATTTATATGTATAACTTATCTTTGATTTCTACATATAATAAATTTAAAGTCTGAAATTTTGTACTTCTTTTTCAAGAAGTTAATTAATTTTATGACGGAATGAGCAAGTAATATAATTAGATCAAATGGTAAAATAAAAGTAAAAATTTAAAAATATAATATGCTTATTGAAAGGCAAACATAGTTCTGAATTTATCAATTTTAGTTCTAATCGGTTTCGGATATTATCCGTTTCGGATCTAATCGGTTTCGGGTTTTATCGATTTCAGGTATTATCGGTTTCGGATCTAATCGGGTTCGGGTTTAATCGGTTTGGATATTATCGATTTCGGATCTAATCGGTTTCGGATTTAAATCGGATATGAATTATTTAGTTCGGTTTCGGTTCGATTCGATTCGGATCATTTCGGGTTTTCGGTTATAGATTGGATCTTCATTTTTTGGGTCATTTCAGTTTCGGTTTCGAATATTTCAGTTCGAGTAAACGATTCCGGTTCTGTTTTGCCAGGTCTACCCGGGAGTGATCGATCACCGCAGATTCAGGGGATCTAGAGAGAGAAAAAGCAATACGAGAAAGAGAATGTGATTGCAAGTGAGATTATAGAGTTTGAACTCTCCGAGTCTCGTTGTTTTGGCACGCAAGTCACGTGACCACATAACTAAAAAATCATGACAGGGCGCTGGTCTTTGATTTTTGAGATCTTTTTTTAGATTGGATACACCCCATCCCTAGCGTATTTGTCAGTACTTGAACTTTTGATGTTTCTTCAATTTAAGTATCCAAACTTCATTTTCTATCGTTCCATTGGACTGATATTATGCTGGCCGGTTTATGTTGCTATTTTTCAATCATGGTATTATGTGTCTTTGGCTGGATTTGGTTTACTTGATTAGATAGTTTAATTTAATTACTGTAATGTATTTTAATTAAAAGTGTCAGAACCAAATAGGGTTCTTACTTCTTAGACATTTATAAACATGGATTGTGATATAAACAAACATAATAATGGAATAAATAAAATATCTCCTTTAAACACTGATTCTCTATCTCCTTCTTCACCACTTTCGCCCAGGTTTTCCTCTTTCTCTTCTTCTAAACCCTAATTTTACCTCATGGTCTTATGTGTCTTTTGCTGGATTTGATATTGCCAAAAGTACACACACACAAAGCTATACGATGGTGTTAGATAAAATTTGTTATTTCCTCCGTCCCTGAAACATCTTCCCTTATTGACTTCTTGAGGATTTAAGGGAGGAATATTTTTGTGTTGACTTTTCAAAAATATTCTTGATGTGATGTGTAGATTATTACTGAAAAGATATGATGTGATAGGCAAGGTATGAAAAAGTAAGGGGTAAAAGTGATTTTTTAATAGATAAGATAACATCTTTTAGGGACAACAAAAAATAAAAAGGGAAGACCTTTAAGGGACGAAGGCACAATTAATGAAGATTGTTAGCATCTCCGGTGTTGTCTTTGTAACAGACAACTTAGTATAGGGTTTACCATGCTAATGTGGCCGCTCATGAATTAACACGGGCTGCGCATTCATCTGAGAGCATAATAAGGGAGCGGGTTGGTTCACCCCCGGAATTTCTCGTGACCTCTATTTAATATACTTTTTATTTCATTTTTTTTAAAAAAATAACCATGTGTCTCCCCTATTTTTCTGGTTTAATTTCTCCCATCCGTTTTTCACTCTCTCCAAAGACTTTTTTCCCCTTCCCCGTAACAACATCAATTTTTATTTCTCCAAAAACCAAGCTACAGTGGTCATCAGTTTAGACAGTTTGGTAAATTTTTGAACAATTTTTTTTTAAATAAATATACATGGGACTAAAATGGAGTACAATGTTCCTCTGCTGAAGCATTTCCTTAGAAAATTAAAAATTGTTTTCGGCCAATCCTGAAAAAAGGAAGTGGAAGATAAATTTAAATGGATGGAGCAATACGTTTACCAAAAAAATTTCTTTGAGCCTCCCCCACCCCCTCAATTTTTTTCATTTTTTAACTCAATAAATTGGACACGTCTTCAATTTCGATTCATCACTCTCATCAACTCCCAGTTCACTCTCATCACTTCTTTAATGTTTTTAGTTTTTGTAATTTAAAGCATGTTAAAGTTATCCTTTTATTTGTGTCGTATTTCGTAATTTAATGTTGTACGGTTATTTTTAATTTTTAAGTTGTTACCATCCTTTTTTTTAAAATTATTCATCCACGGAGTATTTTTTAAATAAAAATTTGTATTAAATTTATATAAGTTTTGAATAAAAAAATGATGAATAATGTAAAAAAAACGGAGAGGCGAGTTTTCATGGCGATATCATTGCAGGATTTTGGTGCAGAACGAAAAGTTAGTGGAGTGTATGGGACACGAATGGGAGCGGGGCGGATTTAGTCCCATTGTAAATTCTGGGGTAAATTTCACCAATGATACCTAAACTTTAGCTATAATTTCGAAGTGGTACCTGAACTTCAAATCCTTTCACAAAAATCCCCCAACTTACACAATCCTTTCACTAATGAGTCATTAGCCCGTTTCTAGGTCAAATGCCGGTTACCATCCGACGTGGGTGCTGATATGGATGCTGAATCACTTCCCCTACCTCACTCTCTTTCCTCCTCACCTATTTCGTAGCATATAAACCGGCTCTGCACTCCCAAATCGCCACCCATTTACCCGATAATTGCCAGAACCCTAATTTAGGAAAATGTCCAGCGTCTCAAGCAACAACAGCCATGGCATGCAATTCGCGAGGTGTAGATGCGGAGAAAAGGCCGTTCTGAAGACAGCTTGGACTGAATCAAATCCTGGAAGAAGATTTCTGGGCTGTTCAAATTATGGGGTAGGTGTTTTGAAATTTTCAATTATTTGAGAGATTACTTCCATGGGTTGAGACACTCTGAATTTTTTTTAATTTTGATCTTGTTATGCAGAGGCATAATTTTTGTAAGTATATGGAGTGGATAGATCCGGAAGTTCATCCACGTTATCGTGAGGTCATCAATGGTTTGCTCCGGAAGATTGACAATTTAGATACGAAGGAGGCTGACAAGAAGACTGTGAAAGGATCTACAAATAAGGGGTTTTGGGTACTTGCTGTGGCATTTGTATTTTTTTTATTTCTTTCTGGTGCAACACCAGTTGTTGTAAAGGGCATTAGAATATGTTGGTGGGTGTTGGGATGTGCTGTACTTTGCTTGGAAGAATTCTGATGTTTTCTTAATCCTTGTACTTGTGTA